TGACATGATAGGGAGGGTGGTCGTGCATACATTGTCTTGTAAATGCATTGACATGCTCTGTTTGTCCTCTGCTGCAGCAAAACAGCATTCTGCAGGAAGAGATGGTCGGTCGGCCATCTTCAGTGCCGATCGGCTACAAATTTATGGCCGAGAGCCCCATTATTGGTCGATGACCAGTTACCCTTGGCCGGTGGCCTTTCCACTTGGCCGATGGCCTCTCACAGTACCCAGAAGGTGATTCAGAAGCATACTTGAGACTTGTGCAGTTTTCAGAGGTGCAGAGCAGTGTAAACAAGGGCAGCATGAGCATGGCGATAGATTTCCGAGCGGAGCCGAGTATGCATGCATTTGTCCCTCTCCCCGAGGCCTCTTTACTGCTTTAGTAGCTTAATTAATTTGTTTAATTAGTTAAGTGTTGTGTAATAATTAATTAGCTAGTTAGTTAGTTAATTAGTCAATTTGTATTATTTATTCGGACCCTCCGTCGAGAGGGCGAATTTTGTAATAAGTGTGCGTGCGTGTGTGAATGTCTTCCAACCCCACGTCTTTCTCCCTTTTACTTACCTGCTTTCAATGGTTAGTTTTAGGTCATGTTTCAATTAGCATCCTTATGCTCGCATGTTTGCATCATTCATCTATCTTGCATGCACTAGGCTCGGCACATCATACTAACTGCATAATATTTCAATTCTAACTTGAATACATGCATCGAGTTGTCGCATTTCACATGCCATTTCTAGCATAGCCGAGCCTATTTCTAGTTGCATTTTGCATGTGTTGCATGAGCCTATTTCTAGTAGCATTCTCTGGCCACAGTCTGCTCTCCCCTCACAGTGCCGACCCCGAGGTCGGTAGGAAATTTCATGGCTAGATGGTATGTGGATGTGACAGCTTGAAAAGCGTTAAGGGCGGTACGACCGAGGATGATGTTATAAGCGGAGGGATAGTCGACGACAAGGAAAGTGAGCAACTTGGTGGTCTGCCGTGGATACTCTCTGATGGTGATGGGAAGATCGATGGAGCCTATGGAGGTCACCCGATCCCCAGTGAAGCCGACCAGTGGGGTTTGGAGAGGGGTTAAACTTTCTTCCCCGACCTTAAGCTGGCGATAGACGTTTAGGAAGATGATGTCTGAAGAACTGCCGTTGTTGACAAGCACTCGTCTGATTTTGTAGTTGGACAGGAGAGCAGAGATGATGAGGGGGTCGCCGTGAGGGTAACGGATGCCTGTGCAATCGGCCTCCGTAGAGGTGATGGGCTCCATCCATTGCTTAGGGAGTTTGAGGGGGCGATCCAAAGTCGCGACTTCTTTGTCGGAGCCTTGCCTAATTTTTCTGAGTTCGGCTCGCTTGGCCGAACGGGATGGTCCTTCCCACACAAGTCCGCCAGCGATTACTCTGATCTCTCCAATCGGGGGGACAGGGTTGCCTTGTGCTCGGGGTTGTGACGAGGGGCCGATCATTGCCTTGGTTAGGTTGTGCTGGTTGTCGGGGAGGAATGTGTCGGTGGTTACCCCTAGCAGAGATGATGAGGGGGTCGTCGTGAGGGTAACGGATGCCTGTGCAATCGGCCTCCGTAGAGGTGATGGGCTCCATCCATTGCTTGGGGAGTTTGAGGGGGCGATCCAAAGTCGCGACTTCTTTGTCGGAGCCCTGCCTAATTTTTCTGAGTTTGGCTCGCTGGGCCGAACGGGATGGTCCTTCCCACACAAGTCCACCAGCGATTACTCTGATCTCTCCAATCGGGGGGGCAGGGTTGCCTTGTGCTCGGGGTTGTGACGAGGGGCCGATCATTGCCTTGGTTAGGTTGTGCTGGTTGTCGGGGAGGAATATGTTGGCGGTTACCCCTAGCAGGTTCGGTCTTTGGCTGTTGTTGAGGGCGGGCTGTCATGAACCAATTGAGGTGCCCCTGGCGTATCAAGCTTTCTACCTAGTCTTTAAGGTTAACACATTCCTTGGTGTTGTGACCGTGGTCCTGATGGAAACCGTAGTATTTGGATTAGTCCTGCCGGTTGGAAGGAGACCGTGAGGGTTATGGCCATTTCAAGTTGTAATCTCGTTGGATCTGGTTTAAGATTTGTTCCATGGGGGAGTTGAGGGCTGCGTACCGTTCGAATTGACCGGGCGGTCGGGTAGGTGCCGATCGGTCTGTATACTGGGGTGTTTAGGTGGTTTTGGTTTCAGATTTCTTTCTCTTCTCTCTGAGGGTCGGGTTTTTGGTAGTGAAATCTTGACGGGCGGCCAGAGAATCTTCGACATTCATGTGTTTTTGGGCTTTGGAAATGAGGGTTGCCATAGAGGTTGGAGGGTTTTTGGAGAGGGAGAAAAGGAAATCGGATGATCATAAACTAGCCATGAAGGCCGTGAGAATGACCTTGTCGTCGTTTTCTGCCACCTGAAGGCTTCGGTGCTGAAACGGGTGATGAAGCTACGCAGTGACTCCCCCTCCAACTGGCGGATGTTGAGGAGATGGGTCGCCGGACGCCGTTGGCGCTGGGCACCAATGAAGTGGCTAAGAAAGGAGTGACTTAGGTGCTAGAAAGTAGAGACGGAATCCGTCGGCAGCTGACTAAACCACAGTTGGACCGACCCCTTAAGCATCACGGGGAAAGCCCAACACATAATCTCATCAAGGAATGCATGGAGGACCATCAGGGTCCTGTAGGTCTCCAAATGGTCGACTGGGTCCATCGTACCGTCGAAGGAGTCGATCGAGGGCATTTTGAACTTAGGAGGTAGGGGCTTGTCCTTGATGGAGGCGATGAACGAGGAATTGGCTGTTGTAGAGGGTTTGTTTTGTATGTTCTGCATGACTCCTTGAAGTTGGAGTTTCATGGCTCGGAGCTCCACATCCTATATAGGAACGTTGTCACCACCGGAATGCAATGGAGGCTGGACACTACTGGCCTCTCCCTCAGGAGCAGGTGCTTGGATTGATGGAGGTGGACCCCGAGGTGGCGGGTTCATATCTTGGGGAGGGGGTCGCAAACCCTCCAAGTTGGAAGGGTGGGCTTGCTAGAAGAGATGGCTCGGGGTTTGTTCTTGGTTAGGTGGGATATCTTGTGGTGGTGAAAGAGGCACATAGAGGTCTCGTTGGAGCAAAGCATTAATCAAGGCTTGATTTTGCTCTGCTAGGCGGTTAATGCTGTTGGTGAGTTCTATGAAATATTGCGATGGGCCGTTTGGGTTAGGAGGGTCAGCTTAGGGGTTGGCAGTGTTGTGTTGAGAAGCCATGGATCTAATTGTGACCATCCACCTTGGTAGGTGGCAGGTAGGGACTATCGGGAATGGGTCTCCGGCGACAATGAGCATAGTTACCGCACGAAGTGAAAGCTTCCCATAGATAGCGCCAGCTGATGTTACAACTAGTCTCTGAAGAACGGGTTGGACTGATCCAGGTCTCCCACATGGTTGTCCGATCGTTGGGCCTACGGAGAAACGTGCACAAGAGTTTAGCGGGGGAACGAGAGTCCCCTAGAGAACCCTCCGACGAGCAAATTAGAGAAATAATAATGAACGGAATATTGAGATTGGATTGTGATAAATAACTTAACATTCTCTCTGTCTTAGAAACCTGTTTATATCCTTTACTCATCATTTCTTTGTCCATTCCGACCTGTCATGTTGGCCGAAAATCTATGCTCTAACTTGCCTTGTTCATGGTGAGGCTGTCATGTTCCAACGTGAATGGGTTATCGTAATAAATGCCGCAGGGGACCTCATTAATGGCTGATGTGTAGTGCAATAACTCTGCAGGATCTTTGTCTGCTTATGTGGCTGGTTCCTCTCTTGACACATGTTTAGATGTCATTAGTCCTTGATGCAACGTTGGGCTCCAACAATGTTGGGCTTTAGTTTAGTGTTTGAATTATGTATTAGGCTCTAAGTGGTGGGCCAAAAGCTCCTATAGACCCACCTATGCCAAGTTGAATATATGGATTCGTAGTTTTTCTAACATACTATATAATTTATGTTTAAAGACTTAAAATGTAGGTGTACTAAACTATAATTTCTCGTTAAGTTTAATAATTAAAATATTATTTTTGTCAATTTAGATTTAAAAATAAATCAAAATTTTAGAGTTTAATTTATTAAAATTTAAAAGTCAAGATTTATTTTGTTATATGAGTTTAAAGAAATTAAAATTAAAAAAAAATATTTTTATACCACATAACTGTTATTGTCACTTTTTTTTTTTTTTTAAATATAAGCTAATTTTTAGAGTAAATTTAAAATTTAAAAAAAACTTTAAAATGAAGGACTAAAATGAAAAAATAAAAACTTTACGAACCAAAATAAGAAAAAGTTTGTAGAAAAAAATAAAATAAAAAATCACTATAAATTATTAAACCAATCTCTTTACTTTATGTACAATTTTTTTTTAAGAGGTGACTTATTTCCAGTTTACATAGTGGATTAAAGCATATTATTGGTCCTGTGAGGCCTATCACCGGTCCTATTTTGATGATTTGAATCATTCAATATATAGAGCTCATCAAGTACTTTATGCTTACAAAAAATCACATTGATTGGATATTGATAGTTTCTTGATCGAAACATATTTTTGTAGCTCTATACATTAAACAATTCAGATTATCAAAATAGAATTCATGATGAATCACATGAGCTCAACAACACATTTCAGTTCACATATCTCTTTTTTTTTTTTTTTTATTTTTTAAAAAAATAAAAAAAAAAAAATAATTTGCCTCGAAACAAACACTACCACCTCTCTTTATGGTCCTTGTAATTTCCGCTGCACCAAGGATCCTCTAGAGTATTTTTTTCCTAAAGTTTCCTAAAGTGATGTATTGTGTAGTTGAGATTTAATGCTGGAAAATTGATGTGACTTGTCATTAAATGTCAACCACACAATGTACCACTTTAGGAAACTTTAGAGAAAAAAAACTCTAGAGGATCTTTGCTTTTTCCGCTGATCATTTAATCACTGTCTCTCTCCCCTTTTTCTTCCTCTGTTACGATCATTCAATCACTCTCTCTCTCTCGCTCTCTTCAATGGAGAGCTTCGCACTCTACTCTCCATATCCCACCAGCACTTCCTCCTTCTCGCCCTCCTCGCGCATATCCTTACACCTCCGTTCCCGCCCTTCTTCTCTCTCCAAATCCCACCATTCCTACATTTCTCCAAAACCCACCCTCCGTTCCTCTCTCTCCTCCGCCTCTCCTCTCTCTCTCCTCCAAGCCCACAATCACCTCCTCTTCAATCCTCTCCCAAAACCCACCAAAACCCTCAAACCAGTCCAAGCCTCTCAATCTCCCCCACCCACCACCACCACCACCACTGAACCAAACCCTCAAGGCGCTAAGATCGTCCCGCTCGTAATCTCTCTCGCAGTAGGCCTAATCGTTCGATTCTTCGTCCCCAAACCCCCTGAAGTTTCGCTGCAAGCTTGGCAATTGCTTGCAATTTTTCTCTCAACAATTGCTGGGCTTGTGCTGAGTCCTTTGCCTGTTGGTGCTTGGGCGTTTTTGGGACTCACCACATCGATTTTGACAAAAACCCTGACTTTTTCGACTGCTTTTAGTGCTTTCACGAATGAGGTGATTTGGTTGATTGTGATTTCGTTTTTCTTCGCTCGTGGGTTTGTGAAGACTGGGTTGGGGGATAGGATTGCTACGTATTTTGTGAAGTGGTTGGGGAAGAGTACGTTGGGTTTGTCATATGGGTTGACTGTCAGTGAAGCTCTTATTGCTCCGGCAATGCCGAGCACCACTGCGAGAGCTGGTGGTGTATTTTTGCCGATCATTAAGTCTCTGTCGCTATCCGCGGGTAGTAAACCGGGTGATCCATCAGCGAAAAAGCTCGGGGCTTATTTGGTTCAGTCTCAATTTCAGGTTAGCTTGAATGTTTGTTTGCTAATTTTAATTTGGAATTTTGATATCATTGGATTCAATTAATTTTGAAATTGTAGTTTGTTTATTGTTTTTGGAGCCCAAGTTTAGATGAAGAAACTCAATATGATTGCTTGTGTTGGGAATTCTCTGCTAAAAGCTTTGCCTTTTTTGGAGAATTCTTTCATGCTGATTAGTATTATGAATTGGGAAAAACATGGGTGTTCATGTTCACGGGGAAGACGTCGGACATGGCGATGCTATATAGTGACCCCTGGGTGTCACATGAACCCACTGGGCAGAAGGAAAAAATATATTTTTATTTTGATATAAAGTATGGTTTGAGGAAAAATACTGCATATGTGAACCCATTGAAAAGTAAAAAGTTCACTTCATCCACTTTTTCTTCTTCTTTAAAATAACTTGTCTTTGGCAGCTTATGGGTGATGATTTTTTACTTTTGTTTTCTATGTTCTCACTCCTACTCCTCTTTAGTCCTAGTGATGCAGAACATTAGACTACATTCAATAATTTTGCACTGTATCTGGGTGGTTGATGCATGGTTTTATCTGTCACTGAGATTGGTAATGTATTAGGTACTTTTGTAAATAATTAGTACCATTGTGGCTGGGGAGCACGCTCAAATTGTGACACATCTTGAAATTGCAGTTGTCTCGATCCAAACCTAAGTTTGATCCCTTATTTTGGAAGCTAGCAAGTTTTTTTAAAATGTAAGTGCTGAAAGCTTTCTCATTCTTAGAATGTAAATTCAAAAAGCTTGTTCTCTCATAATTTTTACATTTTCATTATCATTATTTCTCTTGAACAATTGGGAATTATCCCCCAAAGAGAAAAGTTTTCGCAATATTTCTGAAACATTGCCATATTGGTTGAGTTGATTTTAGCATAGAGCTCCCATCAGACAAGGTTATTTGTTTGATTTCTATGTTGAAATATATTTTTATGCCAAGTGTGCTCATGTTGATCAAACTTCAAAAGGCAGAGCTTCTTCTTTTTCATTAATTGGTTAAGCATCAATGCCGTACTTCTGTCATTATGTTGCGATCAATATTTGGATTACTATATATTGCATGTTACTAAAAATTGAGAACCATTTTGTTCTTCTATGCTTGACTTATATATGCCATCACATGTTGTATTGATTCTTAGAATGTAAATTCAAAAAGCTTGTCCTCTCATAATTTTTACATTTTCATTATCATTATTTCTCTTGAATAATTGGGAATTATCCCCAAAAGAGAAAAGTTTTCGCAATATTTCTGAAACATTGCCATATTGGTTGAGTTGATTTTAGCATAGAGCTCCCATTAGACAAGGTTATTTGTTTGATTTCTATGTTGAAATATATTTTTATGCCAAGTGTGCTCATGTTGATCAAACTTCAAAAGGCAGAGCTTCTTCTTTTTCATTAATTGGTTAAGCAATAAGCATCAATGTCGTACTTCTGTCATTATGTTGCGATCCATATTTGGATTACTATATATTGCATGTTACTAAAAATTGAGAACCATTTTGTTCTTCTATGCTTGACTTATATATGCCATCACATGTTGTATTGTGACTTATGCATTGCTGTTGTCTAATGCATGACAGTCTGCTGGTAACTCTAGTGCGCTTTTCCTGACTGCTGCAGCTCAAAACCTGCTGTGCCTAAAACTAGCCGAGGAAGTTGGGGTGATAGTTGCAAACCCATGGGTTTCTTGGTTCATGGCTGCTAGTTTACCTGCAATCGTTTGTCTCTTAGTTACTCCTCTTGTCTTGTACAAACTTTATCCACCCGAAACCAAAGACACGCCAGATGCCCCTGCTATGGCTTCAAAAAAGTTGGAGCTTATGGGTCCTGTCACAAGGAATGAGTGGGTCATGGTTGGCACAATGCTTCTTGCTGTCTCCTTGTGGGTCGTTGGGTAAGTACTATCTCATACTTTAATGATTCCTATGAATCCTTTTAAAATGCCTTTTGAGTAGGGATCTCCAGCATATAGTTTTTAAGAAAATGTCGTAAATAACCATAATTATTGGTTAATTTAATCTATGGTGGGGCAGTTCATGTGAGTTCTTCATTGTTCTCATGAAAACAAATAGGCTAAGGTACAGTGGATATTGTTGCCATATCTCTGTCTCAGTACAAAATCAGACCTTACACATTGTGATAGAAAATTTCAAATTTACTGAGGTTAAAAGTTCAAGTACTTGGGAAGTGGAGATATTCTAAGAAATTAGGAATTGATCTAGATGGACAAACTTGTATTAATAGACGGATGGGTTACAATTGCACCTTGTTATTCACTTGTGACAAAAATTGTAGAAACAAACACCAGGAGATTTTAAAGGGAGCAGTAGGACAGAGATTCCCATTGGTCTCTGTTGAATGAAACTAAGATGAACACTTTCGCATGTTAGGCACACTGCAGGCCTTACAAAATGAAGGTTCCGAATTGTGCAAGCTTCCTTTGTCATCATAGGCAAGCAAGGTAGACAGAATCATGTCATACATCATTCAATACATACATAGTGGTAGAAAAAATTGTGATGTTTCTTTTTGCTTTATTTGATGTTTAGAAAAGCAAAGTCGTTTTGGTTAGAATAGATCAGGAGTGGTACATCAACTTTGCATTTATATTTGATAAAAATGGCATAAACCCTGTATGGAATTATATTCACCGTTGATAAATCATTTTCCCCCCCTTCTTGTTGGCTTTTACTTCCAAAGTCTTGGTATACTTCCAGTATGCAAATGGGTGGTGAAATTATGAAAAATTCCATAAAGGTAAAGAACACTTGGAAACTTCGTACATTTATTTAGTTTGTTAGTTTTAGTTAGAAATAAGGATAGTATACTAATCTAAGAAGCATGGATGCGACACACACAGACACCAACAATTTTCAAAAAAAAATCGGGCACCACGTGTGGGGACAAGTGCAAAATATATAGTTTTATATTTTTATTATATGTTATATATATATATGAATATTTCATTTGAAGATATAATAAAAATATACAATATGACAAAACAATATATATCACGTAGATAACAACCTTGCTTAACCTTCAATGGTAGTGTTATTAGGTATATAAATAAATGCATTTCATAAATTTGATGCACATGTACTTATTAGACAAACGGCAGTGCTGGGGACCCCCAGCACCCCCACCTCCACGTGGGGGGCTGTGAGACCGAGGCCAAAAAAAAAAAAAATAAATAAATTTTGGGCCAATCAAAAAACAGTGGGGGTGGTGGGGGTCTGCGTCTTTTTCCTTAAACAAACAAGATTCTACGCTAATATGTCTCATGAGGGTACATTATCTTGTGCTGGCATGTCTAACAAAACAACAAGTTACCAAATTATCTGCACAGTAATGCTTTGTGAGCCATTAGTTTTCAAGTTTGTGTGTTTCAGATTTCAGTTGAGCCTCACCTGTGGTGTTTTGTGAAGAAAGTATATTACAAATACATTCCAGTGATCACAAATTTGATGTTATATTCTCATTAAAGTGCCTTTTCCTTCGGAAAAAATAAATCTGAAAAACATGGCTGGCCCTTGATTTAAGTGACCGTTATATGCTGAATTTTAGTGCCAGTAGCTCCTTATTGTTGTTCAATGCAATTGTTTTAGAACACACCCTTCTTGTTGATTGACATATTCACCCAGTGCAATATTTGTGATTCAACAATGATAGGAATATTTGATTTAGTAATATCTTAGAATTATTAGGTTCCTAAGTGTGTTGATTTTCTTGGTTCTGCATGCAGAGATGCTCTTGGCATAGCAAGTGTTGTTGCTGCTATGCTGGGCTTATCAATACTACTATTGTTGGGGGTGCTTGATTGGGACGACTGCTTGGGTGAAAAATCAGCATGGGACACCTTGGCTTGGTTTGCAGTTCTCGTGGGCATGGCAGGCCAATTGACCAATCTTGGCATTGTAAAATGGATGTCTGATTATGTGGCTTTATCTCTTCAATCTTTCTCTTTGAGCTGGCCTGCTGCGTTTGCTGTCCTTCAAGCCGCTTACTTCCTCATCCATTACTTGTTTGCAAGTCAAACCGGTCAAGTGGGAGCTTTATACTCCGCATTTCTTGCTATGCACTTGGCATCCGGGGTACCTGGCGTGTTGGCAGCACTGGCTTTAGCTTACAATACAAATCTATTCGGTGCTCTAACGCATTATAGCAGTGGTCAGGCTGCTGTATACTATGGAGGTGCGTCTATTTCTTTTTTACTCACTCTTTTAATAGTGTAATTATAAAAGTATATTTTAATCAGGTGATCAATCATCATCATTTATCTTTTATATATATAGGGTAAATTATACTTTTCATCCTTGTAGTTTGACCAAAATTGCACAGTAGTCTTTATTGTTTCAATTTGAACAATATTGACCCTAGTCTTCAACTACTGTTTCAATTTTGTTCTTCCATACAAATTGGATGTTAAAATTCATGATTTTTTGGCACTGTCAGTTGGAGTACATTTAGACAAATTTGACTGTAATTTGAACGGAAGGACCAAATTGAATCTGGACTTGAAGTGTATAGTTAATATTATTCAATTTAAAACAAGAGGAATTAAAGTGAAAGTTGGGTCAAACTATAGGAATGAAAAGTGTAATTTACCCTATATATATCTATATATATACGAGGTGGATGGCTTATATTTCGCCTGTCCTTCCGGAATTGCCCCTCTTCTAGGCTTGCTCCATTAGATGCTTTTGGTCCCATTTGGGAATTCTCTAAAAGCAGTGCCACTTACATGTGTTGGCCTTTTTTCTTCTTGTTTTTTAGTTATTAATTTATTTTATGTTAAGTTATGAATATTATTTAAAATATCTTACATAATAAAAGATAAAGTATAATTATTTTGATTGTAGTTGTCCAAGAGTGAGATGTGCATAGTAGCATTTTGAAAATTCTTAGATAGTTCTTGGAATAAAATTATCATTCTATCAAAATATTTATTTTACTTTAAACATGTTCGGATATAAATTTATGAACATAAAGTAGTTGTTTGGATATAAATAATTGAATAGAATGAGGGTGTTTGGTAAAACTTTTTTTCAACTTAAATAAGCTTTTGGCTTAAATTAAGCTGAATTGGTGTGTTTGGTACAACTTATGAGGCATAAATTATGGCTTAATTTAAGCCATTTTCGGCTTTAATGTAAAAGCAACTCCAAGGGTGCTTAAATTTTGAGCTTAAGTGCGCAGCTGTGTTTGGAGGGGCAAAATGACTTAAATGCCCCTCACAATTTCAAATAATTACAAGTGTACCATCTATATAAATCAAAAAATCTCTCATTTTTGTCTCTTTGATGATGCTCTGGCGATTTCCGGCGACGTGTCCCTCGCTCCGACGATGAAACAGATCTCTCTCTTCTCTCTCTCTCTCTCTCTCTCTCTCTCTGCGCTACATCCATGGCGCCGGTCGATCTCGGGTTCGTCGCGATCGCGAAGCTCTGTCTCTCTCTCTCTGAACCAACGCCGTCACCATCGCGATCGTGCTACATCCAACGCCGTCGTCGATTTGAACCATCGCGATCTCAAACCCTAGCGCCGGTCGTCGCCCCTGTGCTATCGGAGCTAGGGTTTTCAAACCCTAGAAAATAAATTGAAAAAAAGGAAAAAAAATCAATATTAATATTAATATTAATTAAAAACAGAATTAATATTTAATATGAAAAAAAT